AAATGTGAGATGCAAAAAAATCAAATCCACATCTCAGCCCAGGGTGCCTTAATGGGACTGTTACACTACTGGGGAAAGCCCACACTGGGAAAGCAAGAGGAAAGCAGGAGGAAAGCAAGGATGAACAAACACAAATTATAGCAAAGTATCTCTCAACTGCAGTATACAACTGTCCTCCTAGAGGATAGTATGTACTAATATGAGCTGATTAAAAAAAAACAAACCACCTTGAAAAACAAAAGATGAAGGCCAGAACTTACGAAGAGTATGGCATACAGTGTGCCCTTCATGAGACGTCTCTCTGACACAAAAAGAGGTGAATGGATGGCTGGTTCACCAGCAGTACCGCTGACTTCCCTCAGTGTTACGGCTGAGAGAATACATGTGAGCATAACAGACTGAGGCAAGCAAAATGGTTCAGAGTGAGTCACAGAGAGGAGGAGAAAGTAAAATCCTCCCAGTGGTCATGCTGGAGATTCACAATGGAGCACCCTTCTGCCTCAGTCAGTGCTGAGCCAATGCACCAGCTGACTACAGAACGCACTGCGGAGTTTTGTTAGCAAAAGTGGCCTTTACAAACAGATGTGCCCTTGCCTAGGAAGCGTTTTGGGAACCAGGCCGTGGCATTTTCATTTGTTCTGTTCACTACAAACCTGGCTGAACTGTGCCACACTGTAGGGGGTTTATCCTGTGCCTAGTCAAACACCCAGCCGTCTCAAAATGCCCATGTTTTTTGCATCTGTACATACTAGAAAAAACTGGGCAATCATCCTAAAGCATTTCTGCAGCAGGCAGGACATCCTCACTGAACAATCCCCAAAACACCGAAAATTTGTAAGCCTGAGAGCTGTTGATGATCTGAGAACTCAGAAATACCTTGGTCAAGTCTGCTTTGAGAGGTGAAGTGGGCAGACCTGCAGGGGTGGTGACCAGTGACATGGGGTCCAGTGCAAGCACAGAGGCAGGATTTCCTGGGGAGGGCAGGTTACAGCCCATTTGGAGGGGAACAGGGCTGGACAAGGGTGTGAAGGGGGAAAGTTACTTCTGAGGAGGTTACCTGCTGCTTGTTCTCCGTTGGCAACAGAGGCACAGATGTCTGTGTTGATGGATGCCCAGGGCTGGCTCACCAAGAAGCATCTGGGCTGGTGATGGGGACTTCAGGACGGTGGTGTTTATCTGCTTTCTGGTTTTCTGCCTGTCAGGGAGCGAAGAGACGTTCCCCTAAAACTCCACAGTCGTGGATGGGAACATTTGAAGCCATCTAGCCCCTCTGTTGGCATCCACACAGCTACCTGAGGTGAGGCACGTGGGCTGGAACAACCCGTTGTGGAAGGAGACTCAGCAAGGACTGAGTGAAGCACAGGAGGTGCGACTTTTTGAGACGAGGCCACCCAGGCTGCTGAGTGCACCCACCATGCCACGCAGAGGTGGACAAGGATCAGCCTTTCTTGCAGGCTTAAAACGGGAACTACCTGGCGAGCTGTGGGCTGCCCTCTGAGGGAAAAACTTCTGTGCACTTCCACAGATGTAGCCAGAGGCTCCTCCTCGCCTCCATGGGAGGACACTTGCCCCAGTGCCAGGAAAATAAACCCTGAAGGAAAAGCCAGAGACAAAGACACCTGCCTCAGACCGGGCCTAGGGCTTGCGCGTTCCCTTGGAAGCCCGCTGCCGCCCCAGGGGAGGGCTGCTGACTGCTCCAGGCTGCACTGAGGCAGCCCGGCCACCGGCCCCAAATGGCGGGCCCCACCAGGCTGACACGTCGCCTGCCCAAAATGGCGCCACCCCGGCGGAAGAAAGCTGAGGAGGAGCCCCGCTTCAATGGCCGCTGAAGCCCACAGAAGGGGTTAGAGGGCTGCTGCCGCCAAGGGCAGCGTCCCTGCCCGCCCTGCAGGGCTGCCCGGCGTCGCTGCCGGATGTCCCTTCCCCCCTTTTTTTTGATAGAGTTAAATGAGGCATCACACAAACCACCTTGCAACCTCACATTTAGTAGCTGGGTACAGAGCTAAAGCCCTGCAGAAATTGAAAACAAATGGTTCCTCCTTCTAATTACACGAAGATTTGTACGGAGATGTGCCCCCAAGCCCTTGCCCTCTGGCTGTCCAGCTGAGAGGCCTTACAAGTACTGCACGGCTGCCTTGCAGCCCGGACACCCAGCATTGCCTCTCTGTCAGGACAAAACCTACCGTATTTTCACGGGCCAAGAGACCCTGTAATCTAGTTAAGCTAAAAAATATGAAATGTCATTAATACCAGGTAGTACATTTAACCTGGAGACCTCAAAAGAGCTCTTCCAGTCTCTTAATGTATTTCTCTTCTGAAAAATCAAAAAGTGACTTTGTCAAAATATATAAAAACTTGGGGGGGGAGCGCTTGCTTTCTTCTCTTGCTGCAATTTCAGTTACTGCTTATAGCAACCAGTGAAAAATTCAGTCAGAAATTATTATTATATGGTTTTTAATGGGAAGCAGAAATCTATTGGGGAACAAAGGCACTATAGATGCAAAAACAGATCCACAATAACGGTTTATCAGGATGGGAACGGTTTACATACAGATTAAGGGAATCTGCCTCCCGCAGGAGAATGGTGCAGCCAGCCTGGTGCATCCTGGCCTGTTACTGTGCTGTGGGGAACCCCACTGCACTGGGGAAGGAGATCTGCAAAGTTAAACCAGCAGCTTTTCTTGTGAACAAGTGGCAAAAGCTTTCTCCAGTGCTCCCACTGCTCCTTAGAAGTAATTGGTCCAAGCCAGACACCCATTCTCAAAGCCTTTACCAAAGTAGCAAAATGTCAAGGTAGTGAGCAAGCCTGGGGTATTCTTATCCCTCCATGTCATTTCTCAGGCTTTGGCTAAATCAAGTTGTCTGCAATGACAAAAACTTAGCTTGCTTCTGAGATCTCAGAACTTTTTGCCTCCTGTGACATGAGTCATGGCTGCTTGTACAGTGATAAGAAAGAAAAATTACTCTGCCTATTCATTTTGACCCTTTTTTATCTTTTCAATCCTATGGGACTATCAGGAAAGCTAATTGGATTTTCTCCTAGATTGTTTATTTGTGAAATAAAAACACAGTTTGTGTAACACCTGATAATCATTCTTCTGTTACTGTAATGCAATATATGGGAAAACTAAGATATTATCCAGCTTGTTAACTGTGAAGAAAGCATAGCAAGTCCTGGAACATAGAGAAGTCACCACTTGCCTTTTTTTTTTTTTTTTTTTTTTTTTTTTTTTAACCCAACTATAGCATCTTATATAGACTCAAGTGTGTGGTGTGTATATGGGGAGCTGAACAGCCAGAAGAGGGTAGCATAAGTTAGTTAATAAACCTCATCTGTAAAGCAGAGCTGGTTTTGAGAGAAACACCTACTTATATTTCTGGCTGCAGGGTGGAGAAACATAACATTGAGAAAATCATCACCAAGCTTTTGACAGAATGTGGAAAGGCAGATTTACAGTCAGAACTGACAAGGATTAGACTGAGAGCAGGCTACAGAGCTTTTTGCGCTGTTAGCTCCTGTTTGACCATTAATAAAAATGTACCTCCAAAGCAACTTCAGGACTTCGCTTTTAGGGGATAGCAGCACAAGTCAGTAAAACTAACAGTGTTACTGAGTACATCCTGGCATGCTGTCTTGCCTGCATCAAATCTAAAAGGCCAGATGGGGAAGTCATGAAAATGCGTAACACTGAGAGCACCTTGAAAGGATGGTTCAGGGCTGAGATAATAGAATATGAAACAGGAGCTTGCTGAGTTCACCAGACAGATGCAAATTTGATGGCCTGAATGAAAATGTTCTCCTTGCTGCTGCCCCTAATGCCTACCCAAAATAAAATGCTGCTCCCAAAGCCTGTATGTAGTAAATGAGTATTCACAGAGGGAATGTTGCCGTATCTGGCATAAGCAAAACCACCTCTGTAGAGACACCAGCTTGCAAGGAGCTTTGGAGAATCTTCTTCTATACCTATGCTGAGGATTTCCTCTTCGAGGGCTTTCTATCCAGCCCCTATCAATGCTCGTGACTGTAAACAGAACTAAATTGCTGCTGGGCGTTTCATTCTACAGAGACATATCTACCTGAGTTAGCTTGCAATTTTTTCTTTACCCCTACAAGAGATCAAATGGCAGCACTCTTCTCTGGGAAGTTGATAGGGCTTGCCTGAAGAGGTGAATGAGAGGACAAGGAAGATTGGAGGATGACTGCTATTATCTGCATCACACTAGTCGTTAGAAATCCCAGACAGGATCAGGCCTCCACTGTTCTAGGTGTTGTACACTCACACAGGATAGGAAAAGCTGTAGCCTGAAAAAGGAAGCTGAAACAGACAAAAGGTGAGAGGGGAAAGAGGTACAAAGACATGAATTACCATGCCCAAGAGCATACAGCCAGTCGCTGACCAAGGAATAGAAAATTCCTGTCAACTTGCTTCTAGCAGAGCTTCTTTAACTTGTTCAGAGGCTGTTAGATGAAAAAGATTGTACATGCGTTTACACCTTGGAAAGGCACTAAGGAGATAATACACCATTTATTCATATTTTATTTGTACTCTATACCAGAAGCAAAGTGGAAATGCAAGCTGAATCTTTTTTCTATAATTCTTTTCCCTCCACCCTTTCAAAAATAGCACATATAGAAAACATTGGAACTTTTCATTTCAAAGACTGTCACATCAGACTATAAATGCTAACTAGATGCCCTGCACCCTGCTGCTACAATGCAGCCACTTTCTCAGCTTGAGTGTGTCCATTATGCCTATAGCACACAAACAGCAAACAGGAGCTGGAGAAGGGAAGGGGACAGAGAGTACAGGTGTATGCAGGTGGCATTAGGGTGTCAGACTAATTTCATCCTCTGAAGGGTTTAGTTTCAGGTATTGTGAAAACCTTCATGTGACAGAGAAAGTTTTTAAAGCAGCGCTGTCCCTTCAAATTACCAGTCGCGAACTTCCTCACAATTTCCCCTGGACTTGGCCGTTAGTTATAGAAAGGACTTTTAAAATGACATGCAAATATCCAACTGCCATGTCTGCTTCACTCAGTCCCATGTCTCTGACCAGTTTTTATGTGATATAGAAGCAAAACTATCTATAAAGATTCCTTCTGGACATCATGCTGAATGACGCATAAAGGTTACAGTAATAAGCTGGCTCCCATAACATTTTCTGCCTTTGCATTATGCATTCTGGATTTGCTGGCACACAAGAGTGGAAAGTGGAAAGTGATGTTTGATGAAGGCAGTTTTCTGCATATACATCCCTGCTCTGAGCTGCAATTCTAGGAGATCGTTTGCCATTTGTGTCAGTCTTGTTTGGCTGAGCTTCCCTCATGAGCTGCCTGTCCATTAAAAGGAGTGTGAGGATGTCCATGCAGAGTCGGCTAGTCTGGCTGGAGCAGTTTCCCCTTGCGTTTCCATGCTGCCAGACACCATTCCCTGCAGAGGGATTTGGACTGATGATGCAGTGGGTAAGGGGACATTACCCCTTAGAAACATGCTTGAAGGGCTGCTGTTCACCTCGCTTCCTGCGTTGGCAACATTTACAGAACTGTTGCTCACGGTCCACAGGCAAGGGTAGTGGCTGGAAAAAAAGCAGTACAAGTTGAATGACTTATTTCAAAGCATTTTTCCCTGCACAAGGCTTACCACAGTAAAGTCAAGTGTGTTATCTGCTATCCAAATCAAGGTACTAAACTAGATCAGCTTTGCAGATCTTACGTGAAAAACCACCAATGACCATCAGACCTGGTGATGTTGGAGAGAGGCATGGAGAGAAATGTACAAATACACATGAGGTTAAGATTTAAAGATCTTTTTTGTGGATGCTTGCATATTTTAAAGAATTGCAGCTGATTTTACTGGCACGTCAATTAGAGAAGAAATGTGTGCATTTGTTTTGTGAAAAGGGGGGGAAATACTTGATAATTAATTGACCCTCTAGGTCTAAATTCCAGCCATTCCTAGAACTGTTTACTACCCTATTAACAATATTTTTGTAACAGAGCATGAATTAGATTGTTACATCCCTGCATGGGAGTAGGATCCTCATTTCATGCAGGAGAATAGTGAGGAATATAGAGAGAAAAATAATTTGGCTTTAAAACGCTCACAGATTGTAGATACCAGAGTTCTCTGTGGCTCTTCCAAGATCCTGGTTTTCAGCAGTGCTGGGGAAAAACAAAGCTCCCATTGATTTCAAAGCAGGAGATAATTAGCTTGTTAGAAATACCTGTCCAGGAATCTCAAGTTGGGCACTTAAGATATGTTTCAAATCCTCAACGCCGATTAAAGCTTGGAACAAAGTGGGAATCACCAGGGCAGTCCTACAAGCCTCACTGCTGCTAATACCAGCAGTTTTCCATCAACCTTACCTGGGGCCAGGGCTGGCAGCTCCCTTTGTGTGTGGCACTGAGAGCAAATTAGCATGTGGAGAGGATGGCAAAGTCCAGCTGTCATGTCCTGAGAATACCTGAAGGTTATTGCTGGAGCTCTCCAACAAATTAACTTTAGGGGAAAAAAAAGAAAGAAAGAAAAAAAAGCAACAAACAAATCCTCAGTGACTATTGCAGAGACATTGTCTTAAGGCAACAGAACATGGGTAGACCTGAGGAGGCAATCTGATCATGAGGTTTCTAACCATAGGTTAAAGGACAAAAATTCACATGTTTATTAAAAGAGTAGCAAGGTGCCATTGTAATTCCAGGTGTGATATATGAGAAGGTACAGCATGATAGACATAGGATATACATTTTTGCAAGTCTGACTGATAGTCTTTTCATTAATGATAGTTGCCATACGACTGGCAATGTTTTGATACAGATTTCCTTATAACTTGAGCTTAAATATTTCCATTAAAGAAGATTCCTTGCTAAATTCTAATTAGCAAGCAGATTACTTTATTCTTACTCTTGTTTCTGGCTAATTTCCTCTAATCAAAGTACAGTGAATTTCTGGAAGTCTGCAACCAGATCTAGAGAGTGAAAGGGACTCAGAAGACATTCTGGCAATACCAAATACCCTCATCTCAAGTCAGCTCCTACCATGTTCTTAAGGGCTGCTTTGACTTGAGAGTGCAACTGCTTCATAGCATGACATTGAAAGAAGGCTTGCAATGCTCTTTGTGTATAATTGGGAGCTGTACTTTAAGCAAGATCATGCACTCGCATTTATAATTAACAGTTACAGTGCACCTAGCCCTTTGTAACTCTTGTTTCGCTGCCTTAAACACTCTGTGCATGCAGGGTTCAGTGCAGATTGTTACAGAGACTCATCACGCTATTTCCTAGCCTCTGCTCTTGCTTGTTTTAATGCTTATGCTAACCTAAAGCAAGGGTGAGTCAGGCAGAGAGTGTCTGTTCCCTGGAAGCAAAGCAGCATTACAGTTGTACCTGTAGGTGAATGATTTCTCTGCATGTAGGAAGGTGGGTATGGAGCAGCCCGATGCCCTCGCAGTGCTGAATATCGCTCACAGCTGCGGGGAGTGTGTGGAGCTGGCAGAGGCAAAGGTCCAGTGTACTGATAATTAGAGCTTCCCGATGCACACATTGTATCTGGGTTGGAAATCAACCAGCCACCCACTTTGAGGGGAAAGAGAGAAGAAAACTATTATTGCACTAAAACACTGCAATACAATAAAGAAAGTAACCAGCCTTCTTGCAGAATCAGCTGTGCTTCAGAAATACCAAGCAGATTCCAAGATACTGGTTCATGGAACAACTGACAACCAAAAAAAAGCCCCCCAAAAACCCAACCCCTCCAAAAACCCCACAACCACCAACCCTGAAAACAAGACCTGAAACAACTAACAGAAAATGTCACAAACTTCAAAGAACAAATGAAAGAAAAACTATCATTAAAAAAAACCCACAACCTCTGCTCCCCCCATTTTTTCTACCTGTCCAGCAATGAAAGGTAATTTTATAGGTGACAAAAATATTCACAGTTACAAATACAAAAAAGGGGGGGGAGGGGGAGAGAAGCCCTAAAAATGTCATCCATCATCTTGATTCTAGATTACTTTTAATTTTGAAAAACTGCATCATAAGCAAAACAATCCCTCTGCAGAAACTGTTGTATTATTTCCTGCTGTGGGGTTTCTTCAGTTTTTTTTTTTTTTTTTTTTTTTTTCCAAAAGGTGCCTTTCAATGAACACAATTCAGGACTCAGTGAATGACTGGTATGATTCAATTAAGCAAGTCCCAGGTTTCCAGCACCTATCATACCACACAAAACTTCCAGCTGACACAAATAAAAACCTTACAGTGAGAATATGTCATATGTTGACCTTCAGAAGCTGTTTCTGGAGCATCCTTGGGATGGTTTCTGAAAAGCAAAATATTTAGTCGTAAAACTTCTCATTGAGAAATTCCAAAAGAAAGTTAAAAACAGAACTACTCACTAAAAAAAAATGGAAAAGTTAAAAAGAAAGGAAATCCATCATCTTTAATCACTTGCTAGGCAGCAGTGGACTTTTCTGCAGTCTGCCATAAAGGAAGCAGGAATTTAGGTTTCATGGTGTACATAAAAAATGTTCCTAAGTTTGTGCCAAATTTGGGGGCTGAACCTGGAATTCTAAATCTACCTGTGGGCACTGTTCCTGCTAGCATCAACAGTCTCAGCCTGGCCTCCCACCCAGACCAAGGCAGGGCTCTGCCTCCTGCTCAGCCCTGCAAGCAAAAGGCAGCATTCCCCCTCTGCAGCTGGAAACCCTGATGCTGAGACACAGCAGCTTAAGTGGCGAGATGAATGGAAAGAAATTCAGATTCTTCTGCAGGCACGTGGGACACTTCACATGTCAGAAGACATACCAGGTCCAAACTAAATTTGTTAGCAATAATGGACTGAAATGCATCATTTGGATGCCCCACTGCATGAGCATGGATGATGCAAGTAAAACTTTGAAAGACAAACCACAATTCATTTCTGATGGAAGCACCTCTAACATCTTATATAGTTAACACCTACAGGTTACTTTCAATAAAAACATCACACGTTATCACACAGATTAAATAGTAGCAGTGTAGTTATGTTACATTTGCAGTGCAGTTTCACCTTAGTTAAGCTTTTTGACACCCGCAGTTAACTATCAAATTATGGGATTCATTGGAGTTTAAGTACAACGTAGTGAACGCACGCAGTGTATAACATTACTGGGGAAGTTCACACCATCGCATTTCAGGCTTCCTGTGTACAGTGCTAAGTCCTAGGATCCGCAAGAGGATATTCACTCACTTCAGACCCCATTGTAATAATTATATAGAGAGTCTCCCCACTAATATCCATGGAGTGACTCTGGATTTAAGACAGCAGAAACAAGTTTAAGTTATATAATTTATCTTTCACATTGTGATGCCGCAGTTTTAACCATATCAGCAGCAAAATGCTACTGGAGCAAAAAAAAAAAAAAAGATTAACTCACCTTTCTTTCGCATCCAGGAAGGCTTTGGCAAAGGGATTATACTTGATTTTGAGAGCTGTTATCTTGAGTTTACAGAAAACAAGGCATGTTAGTGAAGGCAATTTGGAATAGAAACTTGACAAAACATCTTCCAGAGTAATCTAAGTGGAACTGCCTTGGTTAGCCTAACAAAATATATCCCCACACATGATGTTTTCCAGGGCTGGTTAGGAGAGAGCTTTGCTTGTTGCAGAGTGCTGCGTGCTGATCAGTGCCACAGGCAGAACACCAGTCAGGGCAGCATAATAGCATGGTCCAGTCCGGCAAATCCTGTGGGATAGCGGACCCTCTCAAGAGAGTTTAAACACTGAATTCCTACCAAGTATGAATCAAATCTGTAGCAACACTAGCTAAGGAATGTGGCACACAAGTTAGCAATTGTCACAATCCAAAGCATCCCTCAATTACAGTTTTGAGGTTGGGTAGAAATTTTCCCATGGAATGCTGCACTGTTCTGCAATTGTATGTATTATAAGGAGTGGGCAGAGATAGGGTTGTTGTTATAACTATCAGTCATTGCTGGAGGAAGATATTGGATTTGACTGTAGGGGTTTTTTCCAGTAAGGGATTGAGATGCCAGGACAGATGCACCAGTCTGGAATAGCCGTGGCAGGATATTAAGCTAAACCTGGCTTAGTACTGCAGCCAGACACTAGATTAGACAATGTCCTACTGCAGAGACAAGACAAGAGTATTAGACTGAATGGAGCATTATACTGCGTGGGACCAGTGGGGAAACAAGAAAAAGACCAGTCTGTCCATGCTGATCTTATAATAAAAAAGCTTTTAATGTATCTCATCAATGGTGACCAAGAGCACAGTGTGGCATCCACCTACCTCTTCATTTTGATAGGCAGTCACGGCTATGAACTGTGTCTCAGGGAAGGAGCAGTTCATCACCATCCGGTGGGGGCCTCCTACACGAACTATGTGTACCTGCGGCTCATATTTATGCAGGGAGTTCAGCATTATCTGCAGAAAACAAAACAGAGACAGACCCCAACGCCACTCTGATACCCCACAGCTGCTCTTCGCTCTGGCTCTTTAATAGACCAGATGTCCCTGCTAAACCTCCCCAGTCAGTGATTACTGAGAGCAGAAGGGCAGGTGCCTTCCTCCCTTCTGATGAACTACAGGGCTGAACAGAAAGAGCCTTCGCTGGACTTGGATTTAAAGCTTTCAATACAGCAGCATTAGTGAATATTTATGTTAGCAGCTATGGCTTTCAAACCATTAGGCTTCCACTGCACTAGAGGCTGTTGAAACGGTTAAGGGGCAATCCCTGTCCTATTATCTGAAAGACTTAGAATCACCATCAGAGAAATCAGTGCCAGGAGGGAGCTGAGGCAGTCACCTAGTCATCTTTCTGGGCAAGATGAAGTGTATCTAAACAAGCCTTGGCAGATGTCTCTAACCTAGCATTAAAAGCTGTGAATAGCGTTCATTCCACAATACACCTTCCTCAGGAAGTCTATTACCTTGCTTAATTCTATCTACTGCAAGAAAAATCTGTACTTTGGAAAATGCTGTGTGCATACCCATATATATACATGGAAGAACGCAGCCATTAGCATAAAGCACTATTGGTCAGCTATTACTTTCTAGTAACAACACAGAAGGGGAAGCTGAAGCACAGAGCGTGGACATAGTTTACCTCAACACTGTTGACAAGATTTCAAAAGAAAACAAGGGGAGCTTCAGTCGTTTGTTATTTGGAGATTTTTGTTTCTCATATGGCTTTTCCTCCCCTCCTTTCTACTTTTTTCCTCTCCGCTTCACCATATATACATATCATGTTCCTTTGTTTTTTCCCTAGGGTCTCTTTGACCTTCCAAGTTGGTTTCCTGTAGCTTTTTTTACCCCTATGCATACTGTTCTGAGGCCTTTGACTTTTCTGAGGTCCTGAATGCAGGACAAGAATTTGCAAATTCAGATCCCGTTCTATGCTCCACAATAAATCTTGTGTGCTGGTTCCATGTGTGACTTAGGAAAAGTCAGGTCATCTTTCTGTTCTCCAGTCTGTGAAAACTGAGATAATTTCCTACCTAATTAGGCTACTAGGCTTATGGAGTTACCTCACAAACCTAATGGAAATAACAGATAGAGAACATATAATATTTACATGAAAGAGATTGATTCTGGGCTGACAAGTATCATCCAATGTAGGAGTTTTTTACAAAACAAACAAGCAAACAAAAGGTCTTGTGCAACATTTTACCTTTAGATGCATCATCAAAAATAAAATATGAAACAAAACTAATTTTCCTGTTTGCATTTTTAAGGGGTTCAAAGAGAAAGTCACTTATTTCTGGTACATGTGGTTTCTTTCCAAAGGCCAAAGCTGATTCAATAGAATATTGATAATTATCATGATGCAGAAGCAGACATAGTAATTATTTCATTTAGGAGCAGCCTTTTATTCTGCTATCTGACTCCTGCCAACATTCCACTTACACCAAACAACATGGGGGAACACAACAAAAACCTAATACCCGTGACCATTTTTTCCCCCTTCTATGAAGTCCTATGTAAAAATCCCCAGCACGCAAGACCAACTCTGAAAAGCCCCCTGATGATTAAGTAAACCACAGCACTCTGTCTCTCTTAACATCAAGAAGTCCATTAAAATCTGAAAGCGCCAATTAAGGCCTGTTTATTCCTGTTTACATTTGGCCTCCAGCAAATAATTGGCATCTGTGGGTGAAGAGGCCTGTAAGGGCCTCTATAATTACATAAATGCACCCTTGATATTTCTTGATTGGTAGGTGCTTGCAATTGAAGCCAAGAGGTGTATGGGGAAACATTAGGCCATACCTGCCCACTCCCATTGAGCTTGTTGGTAAGTTTGACTTTGCTGAAGGAAATAGCAGCTTTCATCCAATGGGCTCCGAAGTTTGGAGAGTCTGGGTGGATGTAGACGCAGCTGTGGTTTGGTGGCTCTGGTTTCCCAGCCGGCACCCATTCTCCATTGACATACTTCCAGCGGTGGCCATCAGTCGGGGCGAAGTCCAACAGGAAGGAATACATGGCGTTCGGGTCCAAGCCTGACACGCTGATCTTTAAAACAGGGAACATCCGCCTGGCCGGGAAACAAAAAAGCAAGACGCCACTGGAAACTGGTTGCGAAAGACTCTCCTCAGTATGTTTGTGACCAGATCCTCACAGATTAGGTCAATGTAAAAAAAATCGTCCCTCCCTTCATCTAGCTGAAGAAGTCTCTTAAAGGTTAATCCTTCATTTTATTTCAATCATTTGGAAAAAAAAAGTGTTATCTCTAAAGTAGGGCACCAAGGTCTTGTTCATGCCAAGAGTTATAAATATAATGAACTGTGTATAGCGTCAACAGAGTCCCTGGGATCTGGACATGCTAAATACAACATCCTTAGGTGTGGGACAAGAAGGTGTGAACAGGATTGAACTGAGCTGAAAATGACTGAGAAGGTGGATTGCAACCACAGATTCACTGCATTAACTGCAGAATCCTATTATAAAGTGCACTACTTTGGTGCTTAGATTCCCCTGACACACAGTCCTGTACTCTGTCCAGCGGCTGAATCCCACTTGGTCTGACTCTGGATATATCCTCTAAAATCATCCTGCAACCTCCAGCAATCAGGACATAATCCCAGCCAGGTACTCATCAGACTCCAGTTAGATTTATTGACCACGCTACTCTATACAAAGGTTCTTCTCCCTTCCTTTGAAGGGACGGTCATATTCTATCATCTTTGTGAGCAAAGTCAGTCACTTCCCTCTGTCATTTCCTGTGGTTCTTGTGTTAATCCCCAACATCTCCCACTTGAGTAATGGTTTCCAGGTAGTGCTAGTCTAAATGTCCTAATAAGTCTGCTACATTTTCCTTGTCTAAAAATACTTCTTTACTTTTATCAGAGTTGTGTCGGGTTAGTCTGGCATGACTTAAATTTAATAAAATGCCTTTTTATCTTATGTGGCAGACAATGGAAAATATTTCTTTACTCTTTGCTTCAAAATACATCCTGAATTCTTATTACAGGGATATATTAAAAAGTCTATAGTTAGCTGAAATGTGTTTTCTCCCTTTCTTGAGTGCAAGAACTCACATACTGTCCCACTACTATTACATAAACATCCAGTTTGAGAAGTCTGGTTAAAATCCTTGCCATTAGACCTTGCACTGGGCAGTTCTTCCAGTAATTTGGTCCTATCCTTCGATATTCCTGACCTTATCAGCTTGGTCTTCTACTTTTAGTTCCACCTTAGATGCAACGTTGTCCTTTACTAAGCTCTAGACATCTACCATCCAGCCTTCCCACCATCTTGTGCATTTAAAACTGAAATCCTGCCTTTGTTTAGTTTTGGGAAAATGCTCCTTTTGTGCTTAAAGGTCCAATGCCACCTTTTCTCCATCCCCTTTTAATTATTATTTTTTCTTTTGTAAAAGAGATTTGCAGCAGCTCACAGCTAGACTTTCTGCAGTTTTCTGTCTGTCCCAGTACTTATAATCCATACCACAGAGCTTTGAATTGGCACCTCAGTGCCTGAAAGTCTGCAGCAATAGAGTTAGTAGGACTCCAACAGTTTCAGGAACTGGGAAATATTTGTGGTCAGCAGAACAGAGGAGTCTCCCAACAAAGGTGTCCTATTCATTAAGTTTCTTAGCTTGTCAAGGAATACACATCGTTACTGTGGAGGATTATTATAGCTGTTCCATATTACCTCCTACATTCTTCTTATATGAGTAAGAGGCCTCCCTGCCCCACACTCCTCCGTACTGACCTCTCCTGGCAACTGCCATTTTGCCATGCCAAATTTTTATGCACAGGCCAATAAATCTTCAAGCTCCTTTTCTCTATGGGTACAGAGGGACTGGTTACACCAGGCAACCACAGCAGTTTTCCAAGGTCTGTGGCCATGGGGCTAATGTAAGGTAGCTCTCTAGGCTCAGTTAGGTAGCAGTGCAAGACGTCCAAAATACACCAGAAGAGAACTAAAATTCCAGGCTCTCTCAAGGGACACCAAAAGTCTCTGCCCCTGCAGCCATACTCTCCAGTGACACCCAACTGCAGATTGCTAACAATTTCCTATGACATCCCACTTGCCACCTACCTTTCTGGCCACCTTTATATAGTTTTTGCTGTATACATTCAGCACCTTCTGCTGACAGGAAAAGACAGGATTTGAGAAATTTGAGATTTTTCATCTAATGTAAATACTTGGTGATGTAGGGCCAGTGCAATGTTGAGAAAGATATATTGAACCGTAATCTTTCTAACTAAAAGCAGCTTAGCCAAGGATTTATATGCTACATGTAATGTGTCTTTCTGACCAGGATGCACCAACCAGCAAACTGGGATGTGATAAAAAGTATGGATGCATTGCTCCCTGCACCCTCTAGATCACCTACTGTCAGTCTTCAAAGTAACAGACTTAGATATTTAGCTGAAATTGGAGAGGAAAATTCATCCACGTGAAAATTTAATTTCACTAGAAGTCTCAGAACTATTTGTTACATACAGGTTGTTAATTCCTCTGCTCACAATGCAGACTTCTCTGCCTTTCTACTTGAGAGGCTTGAGTTTATCCCCAAAAGACCTACAGACTAATGCCAGAAGAGAATACAGTATGATCAAGTCTAGCCTCCTGTACCACAGAGATTATAGTATGTCCCCACATTAACCTGCTTCACACACAGTTAATCCCTGCCTCACTTGGACCAGCATGTCTTGACTGTGCAGATTCTAATGATGGAAAACTTACCACCTCACTTGTTCTGCTGATTAAGTGGCTTTACTCTTAAAATCACATTTGTCTGTCTTTTAGCATGGCAAATGATGATTTCTCCAAATTTGTCTCAGTCAGAATGTTTGTTTCAACGATTGAGTAGGTACACACATGACCTCCATTACCGCAATAGCTGAGCACTTTAGCCTCTTCAATTTATTTAGAGCAGATCTACTACAATTACTCCACAGTACAGAACGTGAGTGGGAACATGTTTGATATCAAATTTGAATGTGTAGTAACCAGTAAAGTTGGTTTAGCATTTAAGCCTGGAAAGAGCTTCTCTCCCCAAACTCCCGTTTGCCTGCCTTGATCCACTGTGGATTCTCCCCATATGCAAAGGGGAACAGTGGCACCTGCCTGCCTCCATGCAATAATGTGGATTGCAAAGTCTCAGGATACTGCATAGCTAATATGGTATAAACACTGAGAGAGAAAACCTGCTCAATCAGAGAACACAGCATTTGATATCGAAATACCAACTGAATAGAATAAATCTGAGTAAAATAGGAGACTGATTCCCACCATATCAACTGCACCCATTGGGATGTATTTTGTGATATAGCATGCGGTTTAATTTCACTGATGTCTATCCTGTTCAGAATACATCTATCTTCCCTGTGTACCTAGGCATAGTGCTGTGGCAGGTAATTATTATAATGAAGTACAATACAGCAATGAAGACATATCCATGTATTAACACTGAAGTTGATTCATCTAATTATGACATTTTGGGACCCTCGGTACCAATTAGAGATAACTCAATCACAGCAGATAGAATTGTGCATACCAGAATTTGACACTTGAGGATCACTAATCAATCAGCCTTTCATTCTCTGGGATGCTCCTGTATCAGGTTTCAGTTTAATTTCTGAATTTTGCTAACAATGTGTCCACACAGACTGTCTTAGTTTTCACATGCAGAAGTTCAGACTGGCTCTTCTCGTTAATAGTAGAACACAGTTTTCAAAAGCATTTGTATACCCTTCAGCAAGAATGACTGAGTTAGTTCTACTGATTTAAGCAACAGCAGAATTAGATCAATATTTTTTCTATTGAGGATCCCTCTGAAGACAATTACTGAAGAATCTTGAGCGTGAAAAGAACTCAGCACTCATAGGAAACTATCTCAAATTTGTCTCCTTTTGAATAGCATGGAGTTGTTCAGAGAGCTTTGCTGCAGGCCACTGTCTGTATTTCTTTTTGGTGCGCTGATGTGTATGTTATGGAAGGTACTTTCAGAAATGCAAGAGATCCTTTTTCATAGTCCCTAATGCTACACTGACTTTTTAAAAAGGATTTATGAACATGACAGCATGACATACTTCTATTTTTTTTATTTTGAGATTGCTGTAGTTTGATCATAAAAAAACCTATTCCTGGCCCACTAACATTACTGGAGCTGTCACTGGCTTTAGGAAAAATAGGATCAAGCTGATAAGGAGTGTGTAAGTTAGAATAAAGAAAAACAAGGCAGCTTACACAATGAAATAAAAAGTAGCCAGGCATATTCAAATAATGAGAGGTTCCCTTATCATCATAAAAAGATTTTATCTATGCACTCACCTAGACATTTTAGAGAGAACTAGTATCACCATACAATCATGAGTTACATTAGCTGAGAGGAAAGAAACTGAAAAAAACCTGTTGGTAAGGTGCAATTTTTTGTACCAATTTAATTAATTGGAGGCAAACCTATCTTACCTCGTTTTTGGTCACTTACCCTGCTAAGGAGTCAGTTTAAGCTACTGTACACTAAGTGGAAGTCCACTCAGAAGTTTGCTGTAGCCTAACAGCAGTTTTTAAAGCAATTTAAATGAAGCAGAAGCAGCTTCTCGGTGTGAAGAAAACCTCAGCAGAAGATTTCTATCCCCATAGGCTATTAGGAGGAATCAGAATGGCAATAGGCAGCATTACACCAAGAGCTGATATTTTGGCAAGGTAGCTGTTCTCTCAACGGAATAACCTTGCTGAGCCAACAGACTAGATTTTTCCTTTTAAATGCTTTCACCTATGTCCCTTGTCAAGCTACAGTCAACAGTAATACTGTCCTCAAATTCCACTAACTCGAAGTCTGCAAAATTAATAAAAGTCACACCATATAAGTAAATCTTTCTCTCCACCTCTTAATTCCTCTCTCCTATGCAGATCTCCTGAGAGGTNTTGCAAAAGAAACGCGTGCATGTTGGGGGGGGGG